ATATTGGTAGCTACGCGCCGGCATGCGATAAGGGCCGAACACGGTCAGGTCCACACCATACTTTCCGAACGAGTCGCCCATCCAATACTCGTGGAGTGTGTGACCTTCGTTGAGCTCGCTGGGTACGTTGAGAAGATCGTGGTAGAACTTGGGCACATCCTCACGGCTCAAGCCAGCGGCAAGTGGTTGCGGGTTACCGAAAATATCCGAGTTGGCCGGCAGCGTGACAACGAACGGAGAGTCTGGGTAATCTATGGTCACCAAGGCGATGTTGAAGTTCCGATCTCTGCCCTTGCGTGCTGGATCAGCCCAATTGGTTGTGGGTGGTGCAGCATAATCTAGTTAAAGCTTTAGTGACCTTCTTCATGTGCATTGTTATGCTCAGACGTACCATCCCAAGTCATGTTGTCTGGATTGACCCAGTTCTGGGGGTCGATGGGCGCGAACGGGTTCACAGGCGCGCTCTGGCGACGCACCACAGCAGCTGCCGCAAGCTCAAGCATCGTGCTCAAGATGACAGCCATTGAGGCGCGATGAGGGCTTCGGGCCGCCATCATTTACCACAAAGCTTTGTGAGGCAGATGTGCGAGCGACAGGAAGGGCGTGAGAAGCGGAGGTGAGAGGGACCCTTGAGGCATATTAATGAGTACACGGACCGGCATCATCAAGATTGAGTTACCTACCCATGATGCCGACTACGTAGGGCAAGACCGATATCACGGTAAAGTGCATATGCGGCTGCCTCTTCCAGCTAGGTCAGCCCGTTCCACCGTCTTGGCACGCGCGCACCTGCTGTTCCCAGTATGCGAGGCTGGGGTGGACGATAACGGCGTCGCTTGGTCCTGCACTTTCGTCGATCTGATGGATAATTGCGTCCAATGCGACGGTTACGTGCTTGACGTAAGCTTTGGTGGTGCCGTGAACCTTGGTACGCTGGCTGCGAAAGCTTGTCCGCACCGACCACGGCTATCCCTTCCGCCCCGCTCGAGACTTGCCGGAAAGCATCAATGGGTTTATCGTATCGCGGATGGCGGGTGATAGCACGGGTATAGCTCGGCCACTTGATTTTGAGATAACGGGCGCGCCAGATGTTGTGGTTGTTTCCTCATGCTGCGACGTCATGATGCAGATGCCTCTTTCTTCTTCAACAGTCTTTCGTGTTTTGGCCGTAATGCGGCTACATAGCGCCGTGCAACTCCAAGTCCGTCTCAACTATAAAGCTTCCGGCGCTTTGGTAATATACAGCTGACGTGAGACGATTGCAGCGCCGACATTGCAGATGCGGCTTCCTGTATGAGATGCGACTATGCGCATTGCTGCATTTTCCTCTGAAAACGATGTGCAAGGTCAATATGGCTAGTGGCTGAGGAGATTGTGTCTTCGCCGCGTTCTGCACTGGATTTCGTGCAACATGCCATGTGATGACCGTCACTGCCTAGGCATGAGCACACACTCATCTCGTCACTCAAATCTCGGAAGCAAACAGGGGTAGACTGATTGTGTACCATTTATGACTCGAAATCTTGTTCATATTGTTTTGGCAATCACTTCCATGTCCTTAATGAGACGTCCATGCTCCACTGTGGTCTATCTCTCAGTCGTCCTCTCCTCAAGCCCCGACCTTTACAGTACCGTCACCCTTTCCTCCTCCACCGTCAACGTCATCTTTCTTCTCCTGCGCATCCTTGGCCTCCGCTTCGTGCCTTGGGCAGTTCGTTTCGAGAAAGACTGACTTCGTTCCCATTATCGTTTCTCGGCCGCCGGGGTTGTTCTCGCAGCCGTTCGAACCTTTTGGGGGGGAGCTGCTAACCCCCTCACAGTTCATATACACACGACCGTAACCCTCCGGATTTTCAGGAGTGGACATGTATTTGCATCCACATTTGTGGAAGTTTGTAACCCACCAACACATCCCGTAAAGGTGGCAGCTGAGTAGGATGTTGAGGTTTTGCAGTTTAACTGTGGAGGACTGTGGTAGCCAAGATGTGAGAGGTAGGTTTGGAATTTGGATTGGTTTGTTTGCTTGCTCTTTGATGATGTATATAAGAGTGTGAAAGTCTGTGAAGAGGAGTTTTTATAGTCCTCCATGACGCATATAATAGCTAGTTGTGACTCTGGCCAGCACGATTGAGTCTGCATTGATGCCTTACCTCGCTCCTCTGTGACTGGTTTGTCCTCATAAGTCCTTCGGTGTCATCAGGTCCTTCACTACACGTACCGCAATTTGGCCTACCTCTCATGATGTGCAACGATCAAGGTGGCACAACACCTGCATACAGTTAGCCTCACTCGAACATGACTGTTTTGACGTGTTTAAGTAAAACGTGTATGCAGATGTGCCATTGCTATGTGTTACATCTTCACTAACGCAGCATGCCAGGCTTCCCTTGATTATCGATTGCGGCAAAAACAGGCGCTCGGTTCAACCCAGACGTCCCTTACCTCCGCCATATTTTCCCTCTGGGCCCTCAAGGTGAGCATCCAACACTGCTGATGTTCCACTGAGTACGCTCTTGATGGCTTCAGGCAACAGCCTGCTGAGCTCGTCTGAAGTGGATGCATGTGCAGCCCAGATCTGACCACCACTGGCCGCTTTGGCAATGCCTGAGTAGTCTGGAGTTGGCGCAAAACTGATATTGAGCTCCTCGTTGCTGACTTTAGAACCCTCTCCATCGGGGTGTACGAGTAGCATCGACCGTCGTGGAGCGTTCCAGCCCTTGTTGTTAAGGACGACGGTAAGGATGGGGATTTTGTAGCGCTGCGCGATCCAGTATACTGATCCGGGAACAGAGAACAGGTAGGTACCGTCGCCGACAATTTGACATACGAATTGCTTCTTTCCTTCTGTGTCAGTCGCAAGCTTGACGCCAAGCGCACCACCTCCAGACCACCCAAGTCCGCCACCACCGCAGTTTATCCACGAGCCAGGAAGCGTAGCCTGAATCTGGTCCGCAACAAAGCCAGTCTGAGTAACAGCCTCTATAGCCCAGATGGTGTCATTAGGGCAGAGTTTCTTGAGTTGAGAACAAAGATATGGGGTACTGAAATGGCCATTGTCGTCGACCTTGGCTTCCCCGGCAATACCTTCGAGTTTCTTCTTATGCGACTCTTGTAACGCTGTCCACCGTTGATCGAAGAGCTGGGAAGAGATCTTCTCTTTGAGTTGCGATTCAAAGTATTCGTTGAGCTGCGTCAGCGAGGTATAAGAGTCGGCTCTGTATCGCTGTGTAGCGTTTAGGTAGAATACAGGCATCTGTTGTTTTAGGGGGTCGACATCGACGTGGAAGATCTTGGCATTCTCCTTGGGATGGCACTGTGTGTTGATCCAGGGCACGTCACAGTCGAGGACTAGGATGACGTCAGCCGTCTTGATGGCAGGGTCGTTGCCGTACCGTAGGCCGAGCCAAGCGGGGTGGTTTGCGGGAAAGCACATGTCACTTCCTCCAGTGTCCAGTACGCGAATGCCCTTGACGTTGTCAGCCACGCGCACGAGTTCTTGCACGGCATCGTGGTTTCGCCCCGAGTATCCGGTGATGATGAGAGGCTCCTGAGCGTTCACCAAGGCCTCGGCAATCGTCTTGACACCCTTGGGAGGAAGAGCGGCGGGTTCGACCGGATGCCAGAAGTCCATCTCCAGCTTGTATGGAGTCAAGTCCTCTTCCATGGGCTCGCGCGCGCCATAGAGATAGACAGGCCCCTTGGGATCGCTCATGGCGAACGACAGAGCGCGATTGACCATCTGCTTGACATTCTTGCCCGACTTGATCTCGCCCGTGTACCTGCAGTACTGCGCGACAATCTGCTTCTGGTCCGGCACGTCTTGTATCCAGTGGATGTATTCCGTCCGGCTGCCGCGCATCTCGCCCTCGATGGTGAAGGGCGAGAGGCCGGCGAAGATGAGGACGGGTGCGCGGCCGCACGAGGCGTTGTGTACGGCGGCTCCGAGGCCTTGGGTTCCGACGTCGACGTGCACGATGACGCATTGGGGTTTGCCCGTCAGTCTGGCATATCCGTCCGCCATGGAAAGGGCGACCATCTAGACGCGTCAGTGTCTGGCCGAATTGAAGTGCATCTCTGGCACCTACCTCGTTCGGACATGTGACGATCTTGGGGAATTGGCCCTTCTTCTCATTCTGGCCTTTGACGATGGCTTCGATGATGGAGGGATGGTCGGACCCAAGGTTGACAAAGACGTGACTGACGCCGTACTCCCAGAGCGCCTCGAAGAAGGCAAAGGACGCCGTGTAGCTGGCGGTAGTCAGTACATGATACGCCTGTGTATGCGGGGGTCATACTTACACCATCTTGTCTGCCGTGTGCTATGTTATCTGTCGTGTCTGCAAGGTGACTTGAGGGCAGGTGCGCACAAGTCCGATGACGGCGTGCGTCGGAGAATTGGATGCCCCATCGCTCCTGCTGCTATCATGGGATGGGTACAGAATGGGCAGCGGCCCCACCAGAGCGCGGGGAAGCTTTGCTGTCGCGGTTGGGGTTTACGGCAGGCCGACTCGTCATCGGCATCCTGAGGTGCGGCAGCGGCTGTTGACGGGTCCATCAGACCCGCATCGCATCTCAATTGACACTCGTGTTGACGCCATTTTCATCAATCGCCCAAGACTGGCGACATGTATGCGACGGCGCAACGCGTATAAACTGTGGCAGATGAAGGAGCTCGCCCTGTCGCGCCTGCACGCTATCCATCGCGTCGCGGCATGGTTCCGCCGTGCGGAAAAGCCACTTCGTGACCAAGACACTCCCCATCTGCTTGCACTTCAACACAACGCTCGCTTTCGCTATTTCTTGCTATCATACCACTCGCCAGGGCTATGACGGTCTTGCCCAAATTTGTAATGTCTGCACAATCACTGCAGGAGGCCGACGCCGCGAGGCATCCGTGTCAAACGCGTTTCATCCCAAGCACGCGTATAGAAAGTCAGGTAGGCCCAGCTTCACCCTGATCGTTCCCAAAGATCCTTGGTCACTCATCTAGACTCTGCAAAATGCGTTTCTATCTCGTTTGCCTTCTATCATTTGCTCGCTCAACAGTCCTTGCACATCATCCCGAAGAATGCCCATCCAATTCGACACGCCACATTCAGTACCCGACATGCCTTGGGCTGCCGGGGGTCTATCTCGTCAAAGCAAGCGAAGGAAAGGGTCTGGGTGTTTTTGCTGCTCATGATATGGACATAGGCGACATCGTCATGCGCGAGACGCCCGTCCTCAAGATTCGTTTGCCAAAGCTGGCGAAGGGGAGCCCATATCCAATGGCAGCTGTCGCTATGCTACTCCAAGAGCAATTTGACACCCTATCGCTAGAGTCACAAGAGGAGGTCCTCTCTTTAACACATCAGGCAAAAGCTGTTGACAGCAATTCTCAAGATACTCTGGGCACCATCTTCCGCAACAATGCCTACAACACCGGCGATCAGGTCGGCCTATTCCCCAAAATCGCTCGCATCAACCACTCATGCCGGCCAAACACTAGCTACTACTGGAGCGAAAAGCTAAACAAGCGCATCGTCTACGCGACACGCAAGATCAAGGCAGGGGAAGAATTCTTCGTGTCTTACATCTCCCTGTTGCTCAGTCGGGAAGATCGCCAAAAGCAGCTTGATCGATATGGCTTCCAGTGCCACTGTGAAGCATGTGCACATGAGCGAGCCGCTCAGATAGCTAGCGACAATCGCCGCATCACCATCAAAAACGCATTCTCCAAGTTCGAACCGCAAATGGTGCTGATGGCGCCACAGTCCAAGGCCGGGAAGCGTCAGGCGCAAAAGGACGCTGAGGTGAGCGTTCAACTTGCCGGACTAGTAGAGGAGGAAGGACTTGCCGACTACTATGCCAAAGCCTACAGAATTGCCGCTATAAGCCATGCCAGAGTGGAAGATTGGGCGACCGCTGCGAGATGGGCGAACCGAGCCTACGAAATACGTTACATGGAGGATCCGGACTCGAAGAGCACGTTAGAGTTGCATCACCTCACCAGCAGTTTTATATCAAACTGGGAGACCGGGCTACGAAGTCGTGCTTCAACATGAGATTCTGCAAGCGGCTTTAACACTCGCGTCGCATTGCCCTGCATTTTGTGCGGAGGATTGACCGTTCCAGACCTGCGGTTCGCACATGCGGCCCTGTTCACCCGGTCGCCCGCTTATTAGCCTAATGCATCACCACGCCTCTGCATCTTCGCATTACAACAAACGTATCTTCACCTGACAATCATCACGATCATTCATGACAATACAGCAACATGAGTCTATCGCAAATTACGCCCAGCATGTCCAAGCAGAGACTCATCGACCGCGACGAGCGAACTCGCAAAAAGCCAATGCGCATCCTCGTTCTGGGAATGTGTCGTACGGGAACAACCACTATCGCAGTCGCACTCCGTAAACTTGGCTATACCTCGCATCAGATGCGCGATGTGCTTGCCAAACCTTCTGAACTCGCGCTGTGGGAAGAAGCTGTCAACGTCACCCTGTTACCGCCCCAAGAACGGCCTTCAAATCAACAGAAGATGGAACCGTATGGCAAGGAAGAGTTTGACAAACTATTGGCCGACTACGATGTCGTTATGGATCTACCCAGTTGTGTGTTCGCAACGGAACTGGTGAAGGCCTACCCACAAGCCAAGGTCATCCTGACGAAGAGGCGGTACGAAGACTGGGAACAAAGCATGCAAGACAGTATATGGTGTCTTGATACATGGCGGCTATTCACTCTCTGCCGTCAACTCAACATCACACAGTTGGCCCCATTAATGCGACTGGTACATGCCATATTCCAGGTGCACAACGGTAACCAATACGGTGGCCAGGCAGCGAAATCGGCATTCAACCAGCATTACGACACTGTACGCTCGTTGGTACCTCAAAGTCAATTACTGGAGCTCGACACTGACGGAGAACTGAAATGGGAGCCCCTCTGCGAGTTCTTGGGCAAAGCGGTACCGAAGGAGGGTTTTCCGAAAACCAGCGAAGACAAGGCCATGCGCAAAGGTCTTGAGAATGCATGGTGGGGCATGGTTCAATACTTTGTCATGTTGATCCTTCTTCCGGGGCTTGTCGTGGTTGGATCCGCCATGTTGTACACATATGCGGATGAGGTGAGGGCGTATCGAGATGGTTGGTTAATGGTCGCAAAGAAGTACATGGAAACGGGAGAGTTGTAAAATAATGTGAGAGCTTGATGGCATTTAGCAGAACTAGTAGTCATCTCCGTCTGTGCTTGCATTCATCATACTTGCTGCATAGGCTTTCTATTGTCATATATCTAATTGTCTTAATTCATTCCACAAACTCACCAGTCAGTATTGCGCTGTATACTGCCAGCAGTTCAAGCCTTCCACCTCAGCAGAGTGAAGGAATGCTTGCCAAACTTGAACTTGCCCTGCCCATCCCAGCTGCTTTCCTTGATACCAACATTCTGCACGCCATCAGTGTTGACCACATCAACATTGTCACCCGTCACGGTGTGCACCTCTACCTTGTCGGCCTTCAGTCCCGGAATGTCAACTTCAAAGTCCTGCTTCTCGTTGACGTTGGTGACAGCAAGGTTGATGAAACCGTCGTCGCTGAGCGTGGCGCTGCAGTCTAGGTAGGGCGTCTCGATAGTGTTGCGGATCCAGCTCGGGTTCGTGCGGCCGGTATATTCTGGGGCGCGAACATTGAGCGCAATTGTGTGACCACGCATGTACTTGGAGAAGAGGAGCAATGGCCACCAAGAAGTCTGCTTGACGAGCCCTTCCTTCGTCGTCATCAAAGGTGAAATGACGTTGACGCTCTGTGCGACAGTCGCCATGCCCATATCCTTTGCTTGGCGGATGAAGCCGTTCAGGAAGATGGATACGGCAAGAGCGTCGGAAAGTGTGTACTTCTCCTCAGCTCCGAGCTCACCAGGCGCACGAACGGGGTCCCAAACGTTCCATTCGTCAAAGCAGATAGTCTGCCTGGGCACTGTCTCGGGAACCTTGTTCTCGATGCGTGCAAGATCTATCAAGCTCGCCGTCATTTGCACTGCTCGCTCCGCCGCTCGGGGTGCGGTAGCGTTAGGCAGATGCTCTTTATCGGCAGTGTAGATGTGGATGGAGTGCATGTCGATGAGTGACTTCGTGGTATCGCCACTGAGACCATGGACATCCCACTTGACGCACTGGTTGAGGACATAGTAGTCCCAGGAGGAGTAACCAGTCTCACCGCAAAGGATAGTAACGATAGTTGGGTCGAGAAGTTTGAGGGCTTTGGCCCATTGATAAGCCTTCTTGGCATAGTCTTCTTTGGTCATCTGCTCGACCTGCCATGGACCCCAACATTCGTTGCCGAGGGCCCAGTACTTGACCTAGATGGTTGTCAGTATGATCGATGATGTAGGAAGAGTAAATAGAGGGTGATGAACATACATTGTAAGGCTTCTCGCGACCGTTCTTGCGACGAAGGTTGGCGTAGTAAGTGTCGCGATCCGAGTTGCAGTACTCAAGCCATCCGAGAGCTACATGTAATCAGATCGTGTGCGACAATAGCGATCGGGTGAAACTAACCTTCGTCCAGAGTGCCAGTTCCGAAGTTGAGGCAGAGATATGGCTCTGTGCCGACTTCTTCACACCATTGCATAAACTCATCCGTACCAAATGTGTTTGGCTCGATGCCAATCCATGCCAGCTCAGGCCTAGGCTCAGAATTAGCTTGCTGTAGCGGACATGCTGAACAAATGGTGGCTGGGTCAATGTCACATGAACACGCTTGTGGCGCCAGTACGGCCAACGGGAGCTGACCCTCAAGACGCGTCGGCAGCCCCCAGCGCACATGTGCAGTTAAGGGACGCCACGCATGAGTGAACATCCGTGACAACTTACCTCTTTGGTCTGTTCTCTTTGGGTCCAACACCATCAAGCCAATGGTATGTGGCTACAAAGTTTCCGCCCGGGTACCGCACTACAGGCACATTGAGTTCCTTGAAGGCTTCAATGACGTCCTTGCGGAAGCCTCTCTCATCGGAAAGAGGGTTGCCGGGGTCGTAAATGCCGCCGTATATGCAGCGGCCCATGTGCCTGGTGCGTGGTCGGTTAGCCGAAAAAGAAACACGCATCCAACGCCAGCCGCAGGGCGTCTATTTGGGAGCTTACTCAGTGAATCCTCCATAGATGTTGTCGTTAATCTTCGCGATCTTGTGAGAGGGATGTATCGTGATGGAAGGCGTTTCGCTCTCTTCAATCTTAGTGAAGCTTGCCATGATGATGAGGACAGATGGTGATGATGCTTGAAGGTTGAGTTGTGCGGTGTATTGGAAAAGAACTTCACATGCAAGATCAGGACTCACGATGGTAGTGGCCTGACCTTCGCGATGTCGTTGAAGGCTTCATGGCGTTCATGCCCACCTCCGGCTCGGCGTCGGTGCCAACGCCAGATTGGTTGACGCACCCGACGCTGACACATGCTCCCATTCGTGGAATTTCCCCAGCGGACGCTAGCTGCTATCATCTCGGAGACATGCCGCACTATTGTTGTTTACAGAAAAACTGCCGCCACGACCACCGGGAGCCAAGAAGACTTCCACCAGTGGAAATGTAGCGCATTCTACATTTGCATCCTGAATATGCATGTGCTAACGTTATCGCGTTGGAAGCAAAAGTAGCGATTCGGGCTACGATCGACCGAACAAGTGCTGTCGCCTCGGTATTGACGCCGATGGCTGGTGATGCAGGGATGAAGAGGCGGGTCGCGGAGAGAATAAACGCGGAGTCGAGTCAGTGTCCCCGCTCTTTGCGGAGACCGTGGAGTAGCCTCGTTCGATGCGTTCCCCAGACCGCGGTCAGCCATGGGTGGTGACATGGTGCAAGGGAGCAGCGCAGCAGGATCAATAATGCCTTCAAGTATAAAGGGCCAGTAGGCTGCCGATGGTGGGTCGCTCTACGCATCGCATCCCCCTCCCCACTGCAGCGCTCAATCTCCTCTGCAGCAGCCATGGCGCTCCCTCCCAAAGTCTACCAGTTCCTCGTGGGTCTTTTTGCATCCCTTGGTTCGCTACTGTACGGTTACGATCTCGGTGTTATCGCCCAGGTCATCGCCTCCGGAGCGTTCAAACGCGAGTTCAACGATCCTGGCGCAAATGCAAAGGGAGCCGTTGTGTCAGTCTTTACCGGTGGTGCCTTCTTCGGTGCCATGTTCGGTGGTCCCGCCGGTGACTACCTCGGTCGACGACTTACTATCTTGATGGGTGCCTGCGTAAGTACCCTCTAAAACATCTACTGGTGCGTGCTGTTGCTAACGCAATGATGATTGTAGGTTTTCATGCTTGGTGGTGCTCTACAGACTGCTGCCGTGAACCTCAACTACCTTTACGCCGGACGTGTCCTTGCTGGCGTCGGTGTCGGTTTCCTCGTCATGATCATCCCTCTGTATCAATCCGAATTGGCTCATCCCAGCATCCGCGGACGTATCGGTGGATTGGTGCAGTTCATGCTGGGTATCGGCGCCCTAGCCGCCGCCTGGATCAGTTATGGCGTTGATATCGGGTTCCCGGATAGCGACAACGGTCAATTCCGAACATCACTGGGTATCCAGGTCGTACCTGCCTTTTTCTTGGCCGCACTTATCATGCTGTTCCCCGAGTCGCCCAGATGGCTTATCAGCAAAGGCAAGGTCGAGCAAGGTCTTACAAACTTGGCCAAGCTTCATGCCCACGGTGACACCAACGACGTTTGGGTTCAAGCCGAGTTCCAGCAAATTCAGGAAGCCCTCAGTTTTGAGCGAGAGCATGAGGCTCAATCTTATCTCGAGCTTTTCAAGGACAAGTCGTGCTTCCGCCGTCTCTTCCTCGCGTGTGCGCTCCAGGCTTCCGTTCAAATGACTGGTGTTTCTGCTATCCAATACTACTCAGTCACCATCTACGAGCAGATGGGTATTGATGGTACCGAGGCGCTCAAATACCAGGCCATTTCTTCCGTTCTTGCTCTTTGCGGACAAGCGCTCTGCATCGCCTTCATCGACCGACTGGGACGCCGCTGGACTCTGATCGGTGGCAACCTTGGTAACTGCCTTACTTTCATCGTGTCCACCATTATGCTGGCTGTCTTCCCTCCGGGTTCAACAGGAAACGCAAGTGCTTCGTGGGGCTTCATTGCTGTCACCTGGCTGTACAACTTCTGCTTCTCATCGACTTGTGGACCGCTATCTTGGATTATTCCCGCCGAGATCTTCGACACAAAGACCCGTTCCAAGGGTGTATCGATCGCCACCATGACGTCCTTTGCCTTCAACACTTTGATTGGCCAAGTCACCGAGCTTGGCATGGTATCCGTGGGATGGAGGTTCTACCTGCTGTTCGTTGTAAGTACTCTCGCAGCACAACAATTTGACCTCAAGCTAATCAAATCCTCAGATCTGCAACTTCACCAACGCCGTCTTCTTCTACTGCTTCTTGCCTGAGACCGCCAAGCGTCCTCTCGAAGAGATGAACTACCTCTTCACCAACGCTCCTCTCTTCGTTCCCAACATGAAGTCGTCAGAATGGGGTCTCGACATCGAGCGCCGTGTTGAGGAAGTCGCTGCTAAGCAGGGTTCGGTCTCCCATGCCGAGCATGTAGATGCCAAGCACGCGATGTAGGAGGCCAACAATAGTTTAGCTTCCTTTTCGAACTGACGTTCGATGCTGGAAACCTTCATCACCATTCCGACTATCTAGTTGGGATTGTGATGATATGGATAATTGAACGATACCCACCAAAGCTTTTTTTCGTCTTTTCGTGATATCAAAGTGATTCTGAACGTAAGCGCCAGTGACAATGCAACTTCTCGACAGTTCTGATGTTAATCATCGAGGCGATTGCCACGTATAAAGGCGTTTCTAAGCATAGCTGTGCTTTAGTTCATATAACATGGCGTGAGATGTGAACTCTGAATGATCTTTTGTATGACATGTCTCTTATGTCGTGAAACTAGTGTTTTACATCTCTTATGTCTCCCTTATCTATCTACGTGACTCAGAGAAGACTGTGTGATATCTTGAAGGATGTATCAGTAGACAAGACACGAGAAGTAGTAAACTAAGTCTCTAGCGTGTGATATTCACTATCACTAGTCAGCGCTGTGGGTACACGGAGTTTCTTCTAGTGACGAACTAATTCAGTCAGCTGATCAGTGCATTGTAGACATACTGGGCTCACGCGTACTGCAAACACCTTCGAACGCATGAAGCAAGGCACTGCTTATAATCTCTCTCATCCCACCTTACAACAGACGACCAATAACGCAAAACACCCCCAGGCAAGACAGCTCACCACGCAACCAAACAAGACTACTTTCACACTGAGACAGATGAAAAGCATGGCACAAGCAAAGGTGGTCATGCTTACGGAGTACACTACTGTGTATCCCACAGACGTTGCTCAGGCTACGTTCGAGCCGTCCGCATCTACGACAGCCGCCGTTAGTCTTTCCGCAAGCCTGAGCAGCAAGATCCCTCAACCGACTATTTCGATATCATCGGCTGTTACCTCTCAAACATCATCGTCTACTGCTTCGCTCACTGTTATTCCACTGGGTCCGAATCGCCACTTTGACGATACCCCCGTCATCGTCATCCTTTCACTATTCATCCTCTTTGCTATTCTTCTCATCGCAATGATAGGTTACTTAGTCTTCATGCGGTTCAAAGGTAAATGCTCCTCGTGCCAAGATCTTCAAGAGCAGATCTCGAAGTGGGAGTGCGGGGAGCTGAAGCGCATCACACCGCAAATGGTTATGAAGCGTGATATGCTAAACAAGACCCCCTGGGCACATTACACTTCTTCGGAACTCGATCAGGAAACTGGATATCTTGGACACAAAATGTCTCGCGCACCGACCATCTACCAGGTTGAAAAGGAAAGGGGGCCATCACTCTTCCAGAAGATAAAAGCTCGCATTGTCCGCGGAGGTAAGTCATCAGCCCCTCCGGATTTACCGACTAACTACAATGATGGGCATCGGTACTCCGCTCGATCCTCTGCATATTCGGCGTCTACATACTACGACCCCGAAAAGGATGACAAAGAAATGCGTATCTTCACCGAAGTCTCAGCACCAGATGTTTCCAGCGCTCGCGGACCCCTCCGCAGAGAGTCAGAAGAGCCAAAGCGCTACACTGCATACGCACCCACTGAGCATGATGAAGGCTATTCTTTGGAAAAGGAGATAAACATCGCCCACGCGATGGCGTGTCTGGAATCCAAAGAGTACAAGGATGCCAATGCAGTCCTACAGCGTCAATCTGCAACAGACTCTGAGATGCGACGCGCTCTGGGATTCGTCAATGCCAAAGACCAACAGATGAAGGTCGCACTCCACCCCAGCCTGTACTCGGAGGTCGACAAGTCACTATATGAGTCGCCCGCTGCTAACACCTCTTCGCAAGCTGAGGAGTATCAGCCGTTCAGCTGGCGCAAGAAAGGCCGTAGACCGCCAGATCTGGGAGATTAGCACGAGGCCGTTCAATAGTACTGGAACAGGGAATCAGCCAGTAAGCGCAAGACTCCGTAGCTATGGGCATATATTGGTCGGACCGGGAGACGAGCGAGAGATTCCCTAGGATCCAGCAAGTTTTCGTATCCAGTTGCCGAGATAGAAGATGTAATGCAATTCAATACTATATGCTTCACTTTCAGCTACTTCTCAGCGTGTACTGAGTACAGCGACAGGGGTATATAGAATGACCCCTTCATGCGTCGTCTACAGTATTTCGAAATAGACTTTCATGAAGTGATTCGGCTTCGATATGGCTGTCATCACTCGTCGGTCCGCCCGTGATCCGCACTAGGTGAGGATCTGTGAGGTATTCGCGATCATGAGTCAGCTTGCAGAATCTCGCACAACATTTGATACGAGTGGTGTCTGTGGTCTCAGTAGGTGTTGCTGGCGGTACCTTGAGTTAATGCAGGCACCAGACGTGGGCGCGCGACGCCGCATGCCTCCTTCCCGACCACCGGTACCCCTCATCTGGCAGCCGGTCCGCCTGAGCTATTGCATCTGCTCTTAAGCCGGTGCGCACAATCGCTGATCGTGGAATTCAGCACAAATAAACAGCGGACAGAATGGGCGTCTTTGCCAGCGTTTGATTGAGCGCCTGAGCGGGCAGGCAGGCAGTGCGAGCGATTATGGACGGCGCGCTAACCCTCCCGCTTCTTTCCCGGTGCGAATCGCTTCCGCCATCAAGCACACGACCAACTCCATCATGAGCATCTATGAATCTATCGGCACGACTCTGTCTTTTCTCAGTCTGATATGGATTCCGGCCACGCTGCTATGCTGCTTACCATGGGTCCAGAAACGTTAGAAAATACCTGCCGAGTGAACGTTAACAGGCCAACGCTAACAAAGTCAGAAATGCTCTATCTCCATAACTTCACGTTCTTCCCCGGGAAATGGTTGACGCAGCCTGAAAGAGCCGGATTTCTAAGTATGTCAAGCCTCCTAGATCTTGATGACGGACCTCTGCGCCGTATAGTTCTTTGGGCTTATGTGATCAGAAAACCAGGTCATACCCTTTCGCATTACTTCGAAAGACGGAGAGCGACTCTTCGCATGGCTTATAGCACCATTGGGTATATATGCTAAAAATGCCGATGCGTTCATCGGGGAGAAGACAGGCATCGACGTAGAGAATACAGTTGCCTGGAATGCGCTACGCAACGACCCGGAAGCCAGACTACTCATCTACTTTCACGGGAATTCTGCGACTTTAGCACAGGAGCGCCGCACGATAGAGTATCGATCCTTCTCTGCTGGAGCGTCGGAGAAGATGTTTGTTCTAGCATTCGACTATCGCGGCTTTGGCATCTCAACAGGCGAACCCTCGGAATCTGGTCTACTGAACGATGCAGAGGCTGTTATTGACTGGGCTTTGAAGACTTGCCTGATACCTCCCGAGCGAATCGTACTTTTGGGACACTCACTAGGGACCGCTGTCGTATCAGGCATTGCACACCGTTACGCGACCAGTCTCGGCATAGAGTTCGCTGGCCTCATTCTGTGCGCAGCCTTTACGAATGCTGGAAACGCATTTTCGTCATATTCGATCGGTGGCGTTGTGCCTGTTCTTGCGCCTGTGAAGGTGTTCCCTGCCTTCCAGGCCTGGTTTGCCCGCAGGATGGTAGATACCTGGCGAAGCGACGATCGACTGGCAACAATGGCGCGTAAGTTGACGAAGCACTCAAACTGTTGTGGAGCCATATCGTAGTTTATACGACGATCAAATTTACTCAACTCCGTCTGATCCGATACTGATGAATCGAGTAGGTACCTGCTCGAGGTTCAAGCTGGTCCTTGTTCATGCCGAGAGCGACCAGACCATGCCATGGCACGAAACGGAAGCGCTCTTCCAATCGACACTTCGGGCCGCCAAAGACGCGAGTCCGAATGAAGACGGCCTCAAGAGTCTTGAGGTGGTGGATTTGGGCGAAGCCGGACGACAAGAGGTTTGGCAGAGCAATTCGCGCAGCATCTCGAAGACGATTGCTAAGCACGGCGGTACGTACTCGTCCTGAGGAGTTGATCCCTGAGTGTGGGCGCTTGCAGATTGCGCGTTTCGTCTATTGTCAGATGAGATCGGCTGCCCCACACCCGTCTAACGCAGACGATGCACATCTGCACCCTTCATTTCCTGGCTTCAGCGATGCGATGAAGCGCAACGCAGAGAACCTGAGGCCCGCGGCACTGTGTACTCAGGTTCCTGTCGATTTCGCACGATGCAGACGTTTACCCCACACGCAGTGATCTGGGCCGGCTTAGTCTGACATCCATGCGGTCATCGCCGCGCCTTCCGGTCTCGCTAGTTGGAAACAGGGCTAACGCTTCATACTAGGACACAACACGTCAATGACATGGTCGCCTGTAGCGCTCACCATCCTTCAGGTCTTTGGGCTTGCGGCTGAGACGGCACGAGCGTAGCTTTCTGAGGACATCGTCAGGTGCGGCCCCTGGTAATCAGGCCCAGTCTCAGGATCCTGGTCGCTTCAGCAGAGGCTGGGTAGATCCGAATAGCTCAAGAATGTCGATGAATCATTCAGTCGTGAACAAGGCAGCAAGTGCAAGGACTGACAAGCAACAGCATCAGCATCAGCGAAGAGACAGACTACTGGGAAGTCGGCTTCGCACCAAGAGTGTAGCGCATGTCTAATCGCTCTAGTGTATGAGAACGCGCAACCGCCAGGAGTTCCGACTTCTCGGCATGGCGGCCATGTGCGTCAGTCGATTCTCCACAGCCCCCATGACGTCTCCACGGGTGGCTTAACCAGACCCGCATACAAAGCGCTTCACCGGCAACAGTCATCCTTCGTTTCAGCACCTGTTCATTGTTCCACACAGTTTTCACGTACGACTTTCGCTTCACAACGCTCCGTAACCCGTCCATTCCTGTCGCTCTCACCTTACCTCTTGACACTTTTCGTTTGTGACCTGTTCTTTGCATTGAATAAACACAACTCTATCTACCTCGCCGCCAGATCGGACCTCGAACACTCTACCAACCAGAAATACTACCACAAATATGCCTGCCATCCACCATCTCCAAGCACGGTTCCTAGAAGACTCAAACGGCAACGGCGGAATCTCACCGACAGCTATTGCCCTCATTGTATGCCTCGGAATTGTACCATGCATCATCTTGATCTGGGCAGTCTGCTACCTCTTCTGGGCCTATCCATATGACCGCAACTGCTGCTGCATCAAGCGAAAGCGCCGCCCGGAACCGCAAAGCGTACTGAACCAAGCGCCCATGAGCGAGGAGACACTATTCGAAAAGCAAGGTGTGGCACCTCCACAAAGACCTTTCTCTGTTCAGACCAGGACCGAGTCGGGGAGCTCAAACAACAATGGGCGCCTGCAGAAGCAGCAGAGGCCTGGCAGTGGAGTCGACACCCGGGGCGCGCGCATGAGCCAGCAAAGCGTTATGAGTGCGAACACCATGACGTACGCCCAAGAGCCTCAGCGATTCGTGTGAGGATCGAGCGATATCCCAAGATATGAAGGGATCTTTTTACCAGCGCATATTCGCACCAAGATCGCCGCGACCAGCACCGGCACCTCCACTGTGGCCACATTCACAACCCGCCTCAGAAGGCATTGCCGGTATCCCTCCGCCACGGACAGATGGCGGGCCATCCAAAGACCAACAGGCAGACTCATGACGAAGAATTATGATGTGCCAATGAGGCACATCTACCACGAGGTCAATACCTCAAGCTTCGCATCGCAGCCACAAGAGTCGCGCCTGCGACACGCTTTACCCTTCGCGATGAGCAGCTGGAGAGGATGCAGAAGGCGCTGGGTTGAGGAGCCCAGTAACAGATAGAAATCTGCTGGGCTATCCTAATCAGTATTGTACACTACTTTGTTTGTATGCATGCGGGACATTTGCATTTGGGTTGGAGTTGTTAGCATTGTACTCTAGACGACGTTATGACATATCACACTTAATGGAAGTAATCGATTACACTATTCTGCCTTGCATGTCACAGGATCCAAACCATGAGAGCCTGATGACGGTGTGGTGGGTCTCGTGCGGTTGATAGGCCGAAGGGTCTCACGGAACTTGAGGCTCGACGAACCCTTGCAGTGGGGTAGTGGGCAGGCATATCAGTCGCGACTTCCCAAGCAGAAAGCGAAGGAGAATCACATCTGCCTTTGACTTGCCTCAAATCTAATTCACTAATTCGCCGTACCGACACGCGCAGCCATCTGAGAGTCGATAGACGGAGACGGCTAGATTACTTGTCCGAGGACTGCGACGAACGTCGGCGCTCTTATCTCCGCGTCGCCATCGCGTTTCCGCCACCGTAACTCGTCCAGAGGCTACGTCAAGATATTGTACCAAAACAAATCCGTCGCAGGCAGCGCCCCAAGGGTGCTCTGCGACACGCCGCAAATACCGCGACCATTCCACCCTCAACCTACTTCTCGCGTTCTTTTTCTCTGTCATCACAAGCATTGTTACTTTCAGCGCGCCTGCGAATGCTACGAAGTTACCTAGCCAGACCCAGCGCCCGCAGCGTCATACATAAGAGCGCGGGATTCGGCGGCGCGAGCTACATCAGTCTGAGCCTGAGCACGCCCATTAGAATCGACAATAAAGGGAATTCGACCATGGCCGGGCAAGACAGCGAAGAGGGGAGGCAGGGAGGTCAGCAGGCTATGCTGGCGAGTCAACGCGCGAAAGAGCAGGGAGAGGCGCAGGGGAGGTTTTCCAAATGGTTTCCTCTGTCAGCCAAAGCGGGATTTGACCAGTGGTGGGCAGGTCTATCTCCCATGGCGTAAGTGATGACTGTATGAATTGCATGTCAGACGTGTACTAACTGCGCATGCGAACCTTAGAACAGAGCACCGCGTCCTCTCTTACATCCCACATCTCCAGAGTCCACCCACACATACCCAAACGGGCACCGCTCCTGCCTCGGCCGTTCCTTCCACAACAGACCTCGATGCGCCACCGAAGCACCCCGAAGACCACACCACAACGAATGCCACCAACGACCCATACGGCCCACGAAGATGGAACTCACAAATGGTGGAATTGAGTGGCAAGGACCGCGCGCTGAACGAGTTCTCCGTGGAGCGACTGGGCGAGGACGTGGAGAACAACTTGGTCATGCTGCACGGTTACGGTGCTGGATTGGGCTTCTTCTACCGCAACTTCGAGTCGTTATCCCGCGCTGAAGGCTGGAAAGTCTTTGCGCTGGACCTGCTCGGCATGGGCCGGAGCAGTCGACCGGCCTTCAAGATCCATGCCAAGGACAAGGAGGGAAAGATCGCAGAGACCGAGTCCTGGTTTGTAGATGCGCTCGAGGAGTGGCGGATAAAGAGGGGGTTAGATCGCTTCACGTTGCTCGGACACAGCTTAGGAGGATACCTAGCTGTTGCCTATGCACTGAAGTATCCGGGTCATCTCAACAAGTTGATACTTGCGTCTCCAGTCGGTATACCTGAGGACCCGTACGCGGTCGATGAGGAGATGCCTGATCCGCAAGATTCGACTATGGCGAACGAGTTCACCCAGGATGCGGCCGACACGAACCGGAACGGCGTACAGCCATCGACAGCGGACAACAACAACTTCATGAATCAGCGAAGCAAGAATGGTACGTACCGTCTTGGACAGATCTGTGAAACCTGACTGACTCTTTGACAGAAGGCACTGCGAAAGAGCCCAAACAGCCACCGAAAAGACGATTGCCCTGGTGGCTTTATTCTCTCTGGGAGGCCAACATGGTCTCGCCCTTTACCTTTGTACGTTGGTCGGGACCCCTCGGCCCGCGTCTAGTATCGGGCTGGACGTCACGCCGCTTCTCACAACTGCCGGAAGAGGAGGCTCAAGCTCTGCACGACTACAGCTATGCTCTGTTCCGCCAACGGGGTAGTTCTGAGTATGCGCTGTCGTACCTGCTTGCTCCCGGTGCATTCGCCCGAAGTCCGATGATTCGAAGAATTCAAGGCGTTGGCCGACAATATCTACAAGCACATGACAAGCCCACAGTGGACGGTGACACCGCCGCCAATCCTACCGCACAGCGCGAGACGAGCTTCCCAGTCGTCTTCATGTATGGTGAAAATGACTGGATGGACGTCGCTGGTGGTTTTGCTGCCGCAGAGAAGATGAAGCAGGAGCGGGAGCGGATACTAGTGAAGGCATCTGCAGACGAGAAGAATGATCATGGTGTAGGTAAAGTCGTCATTATCAACAAGGCTGGCCACCATGTGTATTTGGATGGATGGGAGCAGTTCAACCGCGTCATGTTGGAAGAAATGAACGAAGTCCGACAAAGAGAGCAGGCAAAGAGGCGCGCATAGATGTCGACGCATTAGACGGATAGCATTTTTGGGCGTTTTGTTCACGTATAGCGTTCGATTGCGAACATGTTGGATCTACCGCCATATTAGTATAGGGCCTCTTCAACCACAGGCTTGCTTCAACTCATACAAATTCTCAACCCACCACAACCAGTGTCTTACCTCGTATCGGTGAATGGTACCCCTCAGTTCCGCAAGACGATCTCACATGAGCCCCTGCATACTTCACCCCCGCCCCGTTCCGTACACATCGCTCACTACTGCAGGGTGCAAGACGTGTCACCCATTTCGGTGAAGGATAGCCAGCACGGCCTTCCTATCGCATGCTAGCATTGTGGGGTAAACAGGTATGCCAGCAATCCATGTCTTCACCGCCCCAGCTAAGCGAGCGGGTGCATCATCGGAGTGCCAGACCGACTTCGCGCCGGATGCACAGCATCTGATATAGGCACGCGGGCCCCTCGTACGCGGTGCGCATTCTCTTTCACGTGCACGCAACCGTTTGGTGGTGGTAGAGAGAAGGACACCAGCCTGGGACAAGACCCCATAGCAACACTCGCACCTTCGCGTCGCCAGCGTCGCATTCACATGTCATTTCTACCGACACGCGCACGGCATCCCCAGACAGAGGCGTGATGGCGCCGCAAACACTCGACCAGCTCGTCAAGGGCGCGCCGGCGCCGAGCACGAGCTTGCACAGGGT